GGGCAAGTGAATGAGTAAATACACATCGATGTGGCCTGCAACGGGAGTCGGTCTTTACCTCCCAAGCGTAGGAGGGGACAGTTTGTGAAACATACGCGCCAACTCGCCGCGGGGAAAGCGCTAGTGATCGCTGTCTTTAGACGTCATCCTCCTAGTTTGGTTGCTGCGTCCCCTAGAAAACACAGTCTTATAAACGAGCTTTTTCTGCAGCTACCACTGACAAATATGATGAAACATATTCTGCATATAATTACTGGCATCGTTTGTAACCTCCGTCGGAACGCTAACCGGTAATTTACTTGTCTTACAGAAAGAGGAAAACATGAAGAAGATTCGCGACTTGGGCTCGCTTCCTGCGGACGCCTTCGACAAATTTAAGGATAAGAGTCTAAAACAGGTATGTACTTTTGCCTGCCGTGCATCAGACAGTCTGAAATGTCAATTGTCTTTTGGTCTGCCCCTAATGTCATGAATCCCCGCCGTCCTAAATCCGGCCGGAAATTCGCTCTTGGTTGAAAAATTCGCATAATTCAGTCTTCGGTTAAAATTGGAATATCGAAACTGTCTTAAGGTGGTGTGCTTCACAAGTTCGCTATCTCTGTAAACCAATTTACTCACAAGTCACCGTTCCTGCTCTCACTCTGCTGTGGAGCACACGACGGTCGAACTGTCGTGATATAGACAATGTGATTTTATACATAATTTCGATGGAACGTACGTAATATCTAAGGGAATGCAAAGGGCGTATCCTGAATGACTGTGACTGAATGCGGGAGGGTTTATAAGAGCGGTGGGTTCCGAAACGTAGTCCAGGCAACCGACACGGTTGACATCATTGGAACCCACGGTCGAACTGTCGCGTGTGTTAGGTGTTTGGTCAAATGGTCTTATGGTCTCCCTTGACAGTTAGTGGTTTGTCAAAGTAAGAAGCCAAGCTGTCCTACCGACAAGGGCTTAGGAGGATGGATCGGCACTTTTTCTCTTAACTCACCATTATCATCCAGTCACGCGCCGTTCGCGGATGTGGAAGGTTGGAGGATCGCGTGTCTTGGTAGCCAGAGACCATTGTTACGATGTCTGTCAGGTCGACTCACCTTTTCTATGAGCGGTTCCATTTGCGCTGAACTTACGGCAGTCTGATCGGCTGCAATAGGTGCGAATTCAGATGGTCAGAGTTTTGCATGCTCTACTTGAGTCACCGCAACCTGGTGACTCCGACACTATACACACGCGTACGTTAGCCCGGGTTCTGAATCGGTGGATATGAGAGCAGGCATGTGCTCATTTCTTTGTCAGGCATGAAACTACCCTTTCTGCCTTTTCGATGATTGCTGTCTAACTATCTTTATCCCCATCCACCCAGTCTTCAAACCCGTTGTCTCTGATTAACTTTTTCTTCCGCTCATTCCTATCATTCAGCTCTTCAAGCTTCTGGACAAGGCAAACCGTGAGCTCAAACGGTACAGTCACGTGAACAAAAAGGCACTCGATCAGTTTGTGAGTCATTCAGAAGAAAAAGAGAAGCTTCTGAAACGGAAGGAGGAGTTGGACAAGGCCCACCAGGCCATCATCGATTTGATGAACGCTCTGGATCACCAGAAATACGAGGCTATCACGCTGACCTTCAAACAGGTACCAGCGATCAGGATTATCCGAGTTTTTAAGACGACATTTTTTGTGAATTGTCGCAGAGGACAGGGGCGGCAGATAATGCGAGTAGATTTGTACGATACTGTTTCGGGAAGCCAGTAGGTCGGTTTGCGCCCTTTCCTGCTGTATATATATATATATATATATATATATATATATTCACTATATATATATATATATATATATACTTATGTAGAAAGCATACAGTTTGTAGTTCGAAAACTCTGAATGCAGTTGTTATGGCAGGTCGAGTTCAAAATTACTCGGCAACAGGAAGTTTTTAAAAACAGTAACACCATAATTTCAAGTATGAAACTGCCAAATTCATACAGGAAGGAATATTCCTTATACGCTTTCCACAAAATTTATTTGAGTTTATAAGGGCATCTAAAATATAGGGGAAAATGTATGCACTGTAGTAGACATTTCATGGGGTGTAGTTTGCACAGGCGACCGATAAGAAGCGTGTCCGAAAACCGGCATAATGGCGTAACTGCATGATGACAAATATGGCAACCCTGCTTATGTAATCATTTTGAATCCGAAACTCACTTCAGATGACAAAACTCTGGTGATGGAAGCGAGGAAGTTTCCGAAACGTCACTACAAATACTATTTGGTTCATTAACTGGCCCTCTTTTCTTCCTCATCTTCTTTGAGAGATGACTAGCGCGACCTACAGTAATATGTGCATGCCGCAGGCGTAATTTGTTGCCAGATTAATACAGGAAGAAATATTCTTTATACGTTTTCCACAAACTTCACTTAAATTTATAAGGACGTCCACAATATACGGGGAAGTGCATGCCACTGAAGTAGACATTTTATGGGGTTTAGTTTGCGCATGCGACCGATAAGAAGCGCGTTCGAAAACCGGCATCCTGGCGTAACTTAGGTGCATGATGACAAATATGACAACTCTACATAAGTAGTCCTTTTGAATCCGAAACTTAACTCAGATGACGAAACTTTAGTGATGGAAGCGAGGAAGTTGGTTCATGAACTCACCCTCTCTTATTCCTTATTTTCTTTGAAAGATGATTAGCGCGACCTATGGTATATGTATATACTGTCCTCAAAACGTTTGCTTCGTAGACCTTACTCCGCTTTCTTTTCTATTTTTTAGGTATCCAAAAACTTCCAGGACATATTCAAACGCCTGGTTCCTGAAGGTCGTGCAGAACTTGTGATGCACAAGGGCAAGAAGGTCCGTTTCTTTTGTTTTTCTCTTACTTTTTACTCTGAAACGCCGTTGCCTCGGAACATTCGGCTGGGCAATTTGTTTCGAAGATAACTAAGTTCTCTCTGAGTTGTTAGGGTACAGCAGAACCAGGCCATATGCAGCACTGATTAGTCTGGTGAAGTGTAGTCAGGACTTTTGGACATGAATATATTCCTGTGTTTGCACTGTTCTTCCTCCTTCATGGGAGATATTGTTTACCCTCTTATTCATTCGTCACCAGGACGCCAATGCAAGCGATGATGAGGACGACGCCCCCGCCGGCGGCCCCTCAATGCCCGTGCCCGATGTGGAACGATTTACGGGTGTAGGCATTCGTGTCAGTTTCACCGGCGACTCCGCCGACATGCGTGACATGAACCAGCTCTCGGGCGGGCAGAAATCCCTCGTAGCGCTGACTCTCATCTTCGCCATCCAGAAGTGCGACCCAGCGCCCTTCTATCTCTTTGACGAGATTGACGCCGCTCTGGATGCTCAGTATCGGGTAGCTGTGGCCGACATGATCCGCGATCTTAAATCAGAGGCACAGTTCATTACCACCACCTTCAGACCGGAGCTGCTGGAGTCCGCTGAGAAATACTACGGTGTGAAGTTCCGAAACAAGGTTTGTCGCAACTCCCATCCTGTTTTGACCTGACTCATCATTGCTACTGGCTTTTTCAAAGTAAGCATGTTTTATTCGTTTAAGGTTAGTCACATAGAGTGCGTGACGAAAGAGGAGGCACTGGACTTCGTGGAGGATGATCAAACCCACGGTTGACGTGTGCGTCACACCAGATCGATTTGCATGAACTTTTTTATGTTCCTCTTACCACACCTTTTCATTTTGTACATCTTTCCCATCCTCGCCCATAATTGTGTTCACTTATTCCTACTGTCGCAACACCAGAAACAGTGCAGCATTTGTTTTTCTACATTTATCTGCAAATAAAAGTTTGTCAGCTAATCGGGGTAACGTTCTATCCGTTAATGGTAACCCATGTGCGGTTTTTAGGTGGGGGGGCAGGGCCTTTGCACTCGCAACACAACCGGCGAGCCTTAAGCAGACTCGAGTCGCCAGCCCCTCCAATCAGCGTGGAGAACCCTGGGGACCTGATGTGCCGGATGCCGCCCTTACGGATGTTTAGCAAGGTAGCAGATAACCACCCCGGCAGGGCATCCTCTTGGCACCCATTTGCGGGCCGATGCAGGCAGCACACTGCAAACGACAATTACTTTCCATGACCATAGCTCAGAAGGTCGAGGAGCCAATCATTGCTTTTCGGTCAGCTTACTGTCTGGCGTGCTACCCCAATCGTAAAATCCCCTATTACCACCATTGCCGTATGACAGGACCCACAGGCTACCGACAGCCAATTGGGGTTCTTCGGCCTACCGTTGCCAATGTTTTAACTGTGTAATCACATGCATGGTTGCGCTGCGTAGAAGGCGCGTGCTTTGTCGAAAGGCCACAATCCTACGCCTCCACGTGCACATGAACTGACTTTCCACTTCCGCAACTTCGTGTTTTAGGAAGAAAAAGTACGATTGAAACTTTAATGTTCCTCTCGCTGTGCGAAGGCCTAACAGTAGGCAGTAATTGGCATTACGGAGAAGTGGCGGTTTAAATGATGCAGGACGATGGGAGTTCCAGTCAACCTCTCAGTCCCGACTAACTTGCAATCGAAACGAGGAGCATAAACAGCGCAATTCTCGCACGTTTTGTCGATTCCGAACATCGTATGGACCCCGACGAAGCTTTTCGTGTGATTTATAAGGTCCCAACGAGCTATCCTTAGCGACTAGTCCAGCGCCTGTTAGCGACAGCAGAAGCGGCCGCCATTAGGTTACAAAAGCCAATCTTATGCGCACAGAAGAACCACGTTCAGGCTCCGCGCCTACAGTGGTCGAAGGTCGACTAACGCTGCAACTCTCCGCGCCCTTCCGCTCTCACCCCGCCCCTGACACTGGCTGATGTTACCCCTTCCCCCACATTCCCTTACCCCGCCTGTCTTTTAAGACGAACATTTATTGATTTCTCTCATCGCTGACATGTTTACCCCGTTCCAATATAACTGTACTGGCCCGACGAGAATTTATCGAAAGCTACGTATGCTCGCCACCTCGTTTTCTAACTTGCAATCGTTGGTGGTCGGTTTTTGCGTTTGTCCCGTCCCGATATGACTGTTAGAGTATGTAGGAACAGATCAGGAGGAGACCTCTCACCGGGAGAACATAAGATCAGATGCGGGCACTGGTTATAGGATTCCCGAACTAGAAGTTTGAATGTGGGCACTATGTCCTCCTTCAGGATGTGGGCGGATGCGGCCCAAAGACGCTTCTCCAGACTAGCTGTAAACGCAACTTAGGCGGAAAAGGGATGTATAGCGCAGCCCTCAATGGTTCAATGAATGTATACAGGTCCGGCCGCAGTACTAGCGCAGAATTACAGCATATCGGTCGAGGTGTCTGAGAGCAGGGCGGAAAGACCCGGTAATAAATACAAGGAAGAGAAGACTATGACTAATTCTAACGCGGTGAGATGCGCGACTTCATCTGAGAACAATCCCAGCCCCCAATATTAAGATCCAGTTCTTAAGAATCGCATGCGAGATTGTGGTTATTTGCGGGAGGGGGGAACCGAGGATGGTCCTTACAACGAGCCGCGCTGGAGATGCGTTGGGTCGAAACGCAGGCCAGGTTAGGGCGCGACACGCGCTAACCCAGCTGAGCAGGGTCCACACACCGCATAACAAATGTCATACACTGAGGGTGTGGGGGGAGCATTTGGACGCAGGCTCACGCCGCACACATCCCAGCACCGACTTCGGACACGTGCAGGAGTCCATCGTCAGAGATAGTAGCAGCAACAGAACAAGCGACAGTTATAGGGCATTTTGGCCAATCATCCACCGACGGCGCAAGACTGGCGCGAGACTGCACGTGGCTCTATACGCCGACGGCTTCGACAGTGAACCGACGCACTAGGGAAGGGAGAGAGAGAGAGAGATCGGGTGTGTGAAGTCCGCCCCCAGGACATTTCAGCGCATCCCTCATCATAATTAATATGACAAGCTTTAAAACCATCACGACGAGATAAAGTCGTGACTTAGAGGGCTACCAACTGACAGGATCACTCGGTCCCCACAAAGCGGTAAGTCAGGCTGTATTGACTTCTCTATGACACTTCGATGGGATCCGAGCCAACCACTTATTGTTTCTACTAATAGTATATCCATTGCGCGTGATTCGGGCCGTGTGGGGCCCAGGTGGGGAGGAGGAGAGAGTGCGGTAGATGCTGCGCAAGTCTACCCCCACTAGAAACTACTTCACGCGCAAGTCACCGTACCTGCCTCACCTTGCTGTGGAGCGCACCGTGGGCATTCTTAGGCACGACGGTTCTCACGCCACGTCTACTGTCTAGGTATCTGGATTTGTAAAATTTATAGAGCTACATACCGCCCTGGAGACATCTGGGTGTTCACACTCCTAGTTTCGAAGAGACATATGCACTTCTCTGGCCGCAAATACACGAGTGTGTTAATAGGAAGGAACTGCCAGACACAGATGACGGACAAGAATGCTATGCTATGCGTGGTCGCGGTTTGTTTTAGTACGAATGGAAAACGCGCTCTGAACAAGCCCACACAGAACGCTTTTCACGAGCTACGCGAGCTCTATTGGAGTTCTGATGCGGTTGTAGTGACATTTAAGTCCGTTTTGTTTTAATCAGTGACAATACGCTTGTTAAATAATTTGGCACAACCTTGAATAAGAACACAAACTAGCACGTGCATTTTTACCTGCTGACGACTGTTTTTATTTTCTAGTTTGTAACTGTTGGGATACTTCTATCTTCATTTCCCGGATAGCCTATTTACTGTGCCCAACTAACGGATTTATCACTTACACGGGGACTGACAGTGCCCAAGGGGCGCTACAATAAACCTATTCTATTCTATTGATTCGAGCTCGCTAAACCGAGCTCCGAAAACCGGACTTGCGAGCTCGTTTCGAGCATGACCCGAGCTCAAAAAAGCGAGCTCCGGCGCTTACTCAACCAAGGGTCTCCTTCCCTTGTACTGCCCCACCGCCTTTAATTTCTCCCAATATGGCCCATTAAAGTAATCAAGGTAAGACATTTCAATATGAAAAATACTATATTCGTAAAAAAAATACAGCACATCTGGTGATGGTTTGAATTAACTAAAGCCTTAGGGCTCTTGGTCTTCATTTTGAGCTGTTGAATCGTCGGTTGTTGTAGGGAGGTCTACAAGAGAAATTATTCCGCAAGGAACAAGGGAACACAATCTGGACATCGAAATTTAATAGTAACATGAACATATAATTAGTTAACTTGTGTTTGTTGGCTGGTGGAAGCCCTATGCAGCTTCCTTTGGTGCCTGTCATGTGCCACTTTGAAAGCATTTTTCAATGCACTTTCTAGTTTTTACCGGTCTGATTCGTGCTCTTTATTCCATCTGTTGAACACCTCTGAAATGCAATTATTCAGTTGGACAAATCGGGAATCCTACCCAGGATAACGGAATAGACAGGAGTTTCGAATAAACCCCTACTACCTGGTTTTCTGCCGCAGAATGTCAGAAAACCCGCCACGTCTTCCGTGAAGAGGGCAAAGAAAAGCCTTTCAGCAAAAGCTGATATTGTATCGCCTCCTATGGAGGACAAGTAGGAAACCTGAATCCGGTATTTATATAAACAGACAGTGTTTACCAATCGCAGCCTGTACGTGGCGTCCGACACTGCTGTCGTCAGCTCGTCATAGCCGCTCATTGTGCTAACTCTTGGCACAATTGGCCCTTCAACAGCTGAGGGCTGCGATGTAGATGCCGTCAGGCGACGAATCTCCTCACGAAGAGCAGCCAGTTCAGCTTTAATCTCATTTAGATACAGAAGGATCTGTTTGATGGCAGACATCATCCAGTTTGACCTCTTTCTTCTTTTTCTGTGTCTACGATCGGACAGTGAAATCTCACGTCGATGTCGCTTTCGATTCGGTGTGCTAGCTATGGGCACCACATCTAAAATGTATAGACGTATGGGCAAAAGAAAAGCTTACTGGTATGACGGGGAGATAATCCCTTGGGTAGTGTGGCGCTGGTGTTTGCGTCCGAGGACGATCCCTAAAAGGTAACTGTGTCGCTTGGCTTTGTGAACCTTACTGATGATGTGTCCGACGACGACATTTCTCCCACCTCTTCGTTGATTTTTCGTATTAGTTTTTCTGCCTCCCTACGTGCTTGACGCCGGAGATTACGCCTGCTAACAGGAGTAACATAACTGCGCCCATCGCGACGCTGGCGCAGCCGACCCAATAACCAATCAAATCGCGAGCTGGTTTAAGACCCATTACCCCCCTCGAGTACGCTAGCCCGCGGCGAGCTCGTTGCTATTAGGGTAAACCCCTTCTGCCCTCTTTTCTGCCGTAGAAAGTCAGAAATCCGGCAAAGTCCTCCGTGAAGAGGGTGCAGAATAATCCTTCAGCAAAGCTGTTGTATTTTCACCTCCCATTGATGACAAGTAGGAAACCTGCATCCGGTGTTAATATAAATAGACGCCCTTTACCAAACGCAGTCTGTACTTTGCGTCGGACACTGCGGTCGTCAGCTCGTCGTAGCCGCTCATTGTGCTGATTTTTTGCACAATTGGTCCCTCACCAACTGACGGCTGCGATGTTGATGCCGACAGGCGTCGGACCTCCTCACGAAGAGCCCCTATTTCGGCTTTGTTTTCATTATGATCCAATGGGACCTGTCTGATAGCTGGCATTATCCAGTCCCTTACTTCTGGCGTTGAAAGACCTTCTTCGTACGTAGACGCATGAGAAGGCTCCAACGTAGAAGAGTGTCCGTACTCGAACGAAGCTGAGGAGTGAGATTCATCAGTGAAGCTGTCTGACGAACTCGAAGATGATGTGTCCGACGACGACATTGCCCTCACCTCTTCGTTGATTCTTCGTATTACTTTTCCTGTTTTCCTACGTGCTAGATGCCAGCGATTACGTCCGCTAACAGAATTCAACATAATTGTCACTAAAGGGCAACAAGATAAAAAAACAAAGGCAAAGACGGGTCAGGCAGACAATGAGAGCGTTGAGGCAGGCACGGCGTGCGCACTGCATCGTGAGAGGGCAAAAAGTGACGCCGGGGAGAGCGCGAGCACTGCCGGGTGCCGAAGCAAATCTATGAGCCAGTGTAGCGGCCGAGGATGTCAAGGGTAGCACACAACCACGTAGCGGGATACCGGAAAGAGATCCTGGCCTGCGTTGATCTGAATACGATTGTTAGTAGTTCACGATACTCAGCCGTACATAAGGGAATAATAAACGACCAGTGGACGAGAAGATATAATGAACAGAAAAGTGAATTAGAAAGGTGCATAATGATAGTTAAAAGTACAAACAGGTTGAGTTACAACCATTGAGTGACCTGTCTGGATGGAGAGGCGATACCAGCATGTCAGCTAGTAAACCGGTGGGGAACGCAGCGCTGTGGACAACTGCAGGGAGGGGCCGAGGGAGGTGCCGACGTGGAGAGGAGGAGAACGGTGCAAACGTCACAATAGGATACGGGGAAGGGGTCTGCGGATGTGAGAAGGAAGGGGCACCGGTCATCTTCACCAGCACACGGTTACGCCATCTCCATCCTAGGTCCGCGAGCCAAAAAGTGTCACAGCACTCAAAAAACCCTGCTCAGATGAGGGGACGTTACACCAGTACAATTATACGCGGCCATTAGCGGCCTTCGCGACGGCGACTCAGCCGACCCCACAACCAATCAAATCACGAGCCCGCTGAAGACTCATTACCCCCATCGAGTACGCTAGCTCGCCGCGAGCTCGCTTGCTATTAGGGGTGTTAGGTCGTGACCCCTGATTTCCGTACCATCGCAACCCGTAGGAGCCTTGATGTTGGTTTGCATGTCACTTTAGGAAATGTCTGCCGCGTCCGCAAACCCCATGGCCTATCTCAGGAGCTTGGCAGCGCCCTCGTGTAATGAAGTCACATCAACATGCAGTCAGTATGTGTTTGTGTTGTCGGTGAATAGAGCGCTCTGACAGCGTGACCCGTGTGTTTAAAAAACCAGTTGCTGTATGCAGTCTGGAAATCGGCCAGCCACTGCTTAATTGTATTCAACTGAAGTTTGGTATGTACGATCTCTTGTGCGCGACTACAGCTTGTCAATGGGTCATTCGGACAAAAAAACTCCGCAGGAATGCTTCTTAAGTGGACTCAGAAAAACGGTATCAATCCACCTTGCACTTGCATGGGGACCTCAGGGTTTCGTGCTTGTTCCCTGGTTATTACGTAGTGTAGTGAAGGGAGTTGTAGGACAACTGCATTTGTGTGCCAACAGCGTCATTTTGGCTGTCATCATACTCATTTTGCCGTTGGGTTCGCCATTCACTGCTCACGTGATGAAGGACGAACAACTACTGTAAAACCGATTGTGTCCGCATATTGCGGTGCTGTCCTGGTCGTTGTCGACTCAAGCGAGTGAACACGGGGGGTGAAGCAGGCAAACACGATAGCACGTGGATACAGCTGACAGCGACCCCTTATAGTACTGGTTACTCAACGGATTGGTCATTATCTGTTAATGAACGACTGCCTAGACGAAATTGGTTTTACCCCCCTCATTCTCCTCCTCCTCCTCCTCCTCCTCCTCCTCCTTCCTCTCCCCACTTTCCCCTATCTTCTTCCTCCTGAGGCCATCTTCACAGGGAAACGGAAAAATTCGAGCGGAAATCTTTAAACCGAACGGATGCGGCCACCAGCCGAATTATGGTGGCCAACGCCTACTGGACCTACTATGTGACGCGTTCGTCATCCTGGCTCCTATAATTACTGATTAGAAACTTGTTTCTGCAGCCGAGAGTGGTTTGGAATAAAAGATAACCGAGCTTCGTTAAGAATGATTTCAAAGCCCCAATCAAAGCGGTTGTTCCGGAACATCTAAGTGCATCGGCCGACTGTTTTTTTTACTGGCATGAGATCCTGGTTTGGTACGCTAAAACAAGTCAGTCGGCATCCCGCAACTCATTCTCTGCACCTTTAATGCCTGTGTCCTCGCGTTGGATCCGAACCAATGAAAATTCCTAATTTTGTCTGTGTGATAGTCCTCAACTTCGAAAGCCACTTCTCTTTTATACACTTCATCGGAGAGTTTGTTGCACTTGTGGACATCTCTTGGTACGGTATGACTATTCTTTTCTGGGGTAAGTAATGGAAGTGTTGCCACCTTGCGGCATAGGCCCAACGTTCGCGATTTGTGGGGTGACTTTCACGCCCAGCCAATCAGACAACAGCATTATTGACTTGTCGCGTACACGAATGCTTGTGTGCCGAATAGCCAATTAAGGCTGTTACTGGTTGTGTGCGCCTGGTAAGAGCATGCGAGCGGTGTGGGGTCAGTTTAGAGGATGTACGAACGGTATGAAATTGTCTCCAGTGCTCCGTTTTTCACTGAGTCTTGTCAGGCCACAGGTTCTACTACGGTAGCGTTTGCTCTAAACGACAAGTCCCAGATTGGCAGTTCACTGGAGAGAGAAAAAGCAGCCAAGGATATCTACACCCAGACTGAAAAGATTAGTAAACTCAAGTACAGGCGAAAAAAACTCAGTGACGCCATCCCACAACCACCAGTTTCCTCTTCCGTCCCTCCTACGTGCCACACACCGTCACACTCCCACCCTTGTGGTCAGAGGCGAATATTTATATCAAGGGTAGAGGATTAAAGTTTAATGAGAGTCACGAATGACGTGGGTAGAGCATATACTAAAAAGCAGATCCTCTTGGCTCCCACCGAAACTCGAACGATGTCAATGAAAAAGAATTTTAAACAAAAAACAGACCGCTAGTATAAATATAATACTCCAGGAACGGGAAATGTAAATGAGATAGCATCGTGATTGAGAAAACGGGCAGTCAACTGTTAGATGTTTGACGCCAGGGCACTCTCACGCATGTGAGGAGTGTGCGTGTGTGTGTACCTGGATAGTGCCTCTCAGCCGATGACTGATTGGTTACCCAGTTTTTGAAGGGTGATAGCCCAGGCTAAATGCAGGGCTGCGGAACTTACAACGAGCCCCAGTCTATAGGCAATATGTGGATGACATTTTCGCCATAATCAAAAAACCCAGGCGACGGAGAACTACTAATCAAGGCTCTGAACAAAGCACATGCAAAAATAAAATTTACGATCGAGCATAAGAAAAATGACACACTACCTTTCCTGGATATTCTTGTATGTTGGCGGGCAGATGGCTCTATTCAGAGGTCCATCTATCGAAAACCCACCTGGAAAGGACAATACATGTACTTCCTCAGTTTCGTTCCTATTCAGATAAAACGGAACTTGGTTTTGTGACTGTTCAACAGAGCCACCAGAATCTGCTCCTCAGATACCATCGATGACGAGCTTACTTTCCTAAAGAACGTTCTTCTTGCAAATGGGTATCCGGAGAAATTCATCGATAAATATCGCCATCCCAGACAAGGTACTCCTGAAGAAATATCTGTACCAAAAAAGTCAGTGACCATCTACCTCCCCTCTAAATTTTTGTTCATAAGCACCACAACGGCCATCCCAGTTAGACATTTTGCCTACACACGCCACATCAAACTGTATTTATGAGTTTACATGTAGTTGCGGATGCAAGTACATTGGGCACACGCAAAGGCGGTTGGCAGCTCGGTCAGCTGAACACATGCCGAAGTGGCTGCTTAAGGTGGAAAATAAGGTACATAGGAGCTCAATCACAAAGCACCTAGTGGACACGGGCCATACGGGGGACCCAATAGTTGCATTCAAGGTCCTGTTTCGGGCGACGACCGGACGTATCTTGCGCTTTGCAGAGGCTGCTGCAATACGAAGGCGGAAACCAGAACTCTGTAAGCTGTTGGACCACGTGATAAACCTAACACTACCATGGTAAGGATCGATAATGGACGAGACCCTGTTCCCATAGACTCCCTCTAATTTCGCCAGGGACGGTGACTTGCGCTTGAATTACTGCATAGTGATAGTAGACTTGCGCAGCACCCAACACACTCTCTCTTCCCCACTCTCCACCTGGACCCGGTATCAAGACAGAGTCAAGAACACCGGAGGCGGAGGAGGGCTCAGGTGGCTGGCACGGCCCGACCCGCGCCTAGGCGTGCCACCCCACCCCCTGCCCCACAACA